AACTCTAAGCACCTGAGAGAGAGTGGGCACCTCCCAGAACACTGTTTTGTGCCACTCCCAACAGAAATACTCCAGGTGGACAACTTCAGCAATCAGGAGCTCCTCAGTTGCTCATAGAAAATCCCACCTTGGAGTTTACAAAGACTTATGGGTAGAAAAGCCACACTAAATAATTTACTACACCGCAGTGAGAAAGAAAAAACCCTTCCCGTTTTGCCTGATTTTATTGAGAAAATTTAGAAACTACAAGAAAGCTCATAAAAGAAAATAAAATCACCTATAATCTCTCTACATTAAGCAAAATTAGGTAAATGTAGGCAGTGGCACACTCGTAAGCAATGCTGTTGTTGATTCTGACTCATGACAACCCCGTGTGTGTCAGAATAGAACTGTACTCCATGGGGTTGTTAATGGCTGATTTTTCAGAAGTAGATCACCAGGCCTTATCTTTGGAGGCACCTCTAGGTAGACTCTTCCTGCCAGCCTTTCAATCAGTGGTGGATCTCATTAACCATTTGTACCACCCAGAAACTCCTAGCACATGGCAGAGTCTCATTAAATGTTACTTCTTAATATGTACAATATAAATCCAGTTTTAAAAGATGTATTTAATAAACAAATGTTTATCCCTTCGTAGAAAAAGAAACGGGAAGCTTTATGCCAGAGTTTGATAATGATTGTCTCTGAATAGAGTGACTTTTATTTTCTTTGTGTTTTTAGGTATTTTCTAAAATTTTTTCCTGAAATCAAGGGAGGAAGAGTGCGTGTGTTTGTGTTGTATAATCTTTTGTCCATTCCTTCTTCCTTCCTAAGTTGACTGGAAAAGCCTAAAAAAGAGTACTGAGATACAGGAGAATGTGTACCAAAATGGATCTACCTGCTCTACTGTGAAAAGCATTTATACTTGGAAAGTAGAAAAGAGAAGGTACATGTATGGTGCCCCCAGTGTATGACAAATGCTGAGCTGGACACTTCATACATGGTATCTCACTTAATCCTCATAAGAACCTCATGGGGCTTCCGGTAAGATGGAGGAATAGGCAGACAAGCGACTCAGCCCCTCTTCAAAAAAGAGAACAAAAACCAGTTGACAGAGATACAGAAGATAATCCTGGAGCCCTGAACTTTGAAAGGAACTATGCAGAAGTGTATTAGGCACCAACTAGTGGAAAAACCTGAATGAAAACAGTGAGTACAGAGACAGTCGGAGCTGCAGACTGTCAGCTACTCTAACGGGACCAACAGCCTGAATAGTTTCAAGTGGTGTTGGGACCTGAGAATTGACCTTAAGATCAACCCTGTTCACCAAGGGCTGCAGGGACGACTGCACTGGTGGCCTGTGACTAGGCCACAGCAAGGAGGGAAACAACCTGAGCTGTTGACTTTCCGCTGTCCGGAAGGTGTAGCCATTTTGAATGTTTACAAGTGGTCGCCATTTTGGATAGTTAAAGTGACCGAGGGCATAGCCATTTGAATCTTTACAAGTGGCAACCATTTTTGAGTTTAAAGTGATACCGTTCTCATTCAGATTCTAGGAACCTAAGAATAGGCTCTGTTTCCCAAGGTTAGCCGGGACATACGACAGTAAAGGAGACAGGTGGTGAGTGTATTGGTGTTGTCAACTAGTGACTAGAGGAGCACAGTACCCTGCTTGCATAGATAACATACAAAGGAAACAAAAATTGTGAGCAAGTCACTCCAACATACAATCACCAATTAAATATAAACACAAAAACATCACAAAATGCCTCGGAGACAACAGAGCATCACAGTCCACGCAAAAGAAGCAAGATAAAGCAGGAGAAACAAGGGACCAGGATACAAACCCAAAACACATCCTTGAGGAAGATGCAGCATTGGAACTCCCTGATAAGGAATTCAAAAGTATTATATTTAGGTATCTTCAATGAATTGAGAGAAAGATCAAGGAAAACACAGAGAAACTCTAGAACAATTTTGAAAGACAATACAAGAACAAAATAATAAATGAAAAATTAGAAATTATACAAAATCTACACACAGAAATCCAGCAGATTAATACTGAATTTTCAGAAATAGATAAGACATTGAAATGGGCAGAGGAGCAGAATTGAATCAATGGAAGACAGAATTAGGGAGATTGAAGACAAATACCTGAATACTTCTTTGGAAAGGGATAAATTAGAAAAAAGAGCAAAACAAAATGAAGAAAGCCTAAGGTTCATGTGGGATACCATCAAAAGGAATAACCTCTATGTGTAATCAGAATTTCAGAACAGGAAGAGACAAATAAAACCACAGAGAAAATTGTTGAAGATTTGTTGGAAGAGAATTTTCCTGGTATGATGAAAGATGAGAATATATCCATTCAAGAAGTCCAACAAACCCCAAACAGGATAGACCCCAAAAGAAAATCACCCAGACATATCATCAAACTCACCAAAACCAAAGACAGAGAACCATGAGAGCAGCACGGGAAAAACGAGAAGTTACCTACAAGGGGCAATCAATAAGACTAAGCTCAGATTTCTCGGCAGAAACCATGCAGGCTAGAAGACAATGGGATGGTATATATAAAACCCTGAAAGAAAAATTTCCAACCAAGAGTTATGTACCCAGCAAAATTGTCCCTCAAATATGATGGTGAAATCAGGATATTTCCAGATAAGCAGAAATTAAGGGAATTTGTTAAAACCAGACCAGCCTTACAAGAGATGCTAAAGGTAGCCCTTTGGACAAGGAAACAACAGCAGCCAACAGCAACTGACCATTAACACACATGATGACATAACCCAGAAATCAACCCAGCTATGGAAGTATCCATAGTAAATAAGCCTAAAAGATTGTAAACAGGGAACTAGAGACACCAACCAACAAATGAGGACAACTACAAACCAAAAAGAGGAAAAAAACTGTGTTGTTACAGAACTTCTAGATGGTAGGGAAGTCAAGACAACTACAAGATAGAACAGACTCTTCTAAACTTGGGAAGAAAACTATAAATCACAGGGTAACCTCAAAGAAAAATGATAAACCTTCACATCAAGAAAGAGGACCAGCATAAATATTCAGCAAATACTAAAACAATAGCAATGAAGGAAGTGATAACATGATTCATAAACAAAACGAGCTCAGCATAGAAAATTATACAGAACAAAGAAATCGACACCATGAAAAAGCACATGACAAAAATGACAGCAACAAATTCATATTTGCTGATAATTACTTATCTGGCAAGGAACTTATCTGTAAGACTTACAGCGGAAGAGTGGATGACCAAACTGTGGTACATACACATAATGGAATGCTATGCAGAACTAAAGAATAATGTAGAGTCTGCAAAACACCGCATAATATGGATGAACTTGGAGGACGTTATGCTGAGTGACATAAGTCAATCACAGAAGGACAAATATTGTATTAGTTCATTGTTGTGGAGGGTCAAGGAAAGGTTTATATATGGAGGGAAACTTTTTTGGTTGGTTGCCAAGGGTGGGTGGGGAGGGGAGGGAACACTGCAAAAAAAAAAAGGTACATTGACCCATGTCACTTTAGTTTTGTGTATTTCACTGTACGTATATTTTATTTCAATAAAATGCATTTAAAAAAAATCTTCATGGGACAGGTATTATAACTATACTCAGTTTACAGAAAAGGAAACAGAGGCTTGGGAAAGAAAAGAAATTTGTTCGAGGTCACACTACCAGTAAATAGCAGGGCTGGGATTAAAACCATCTATTCTTAAGCCACTCTGCCTCAAACTACAGTGAGGAAATGGAGGAAAGATTGCTAAACTAAGGAATCTAACCCATGCACACGAGTGCTGAAAGTTTACTTTTACTGATAACTTCTTTTTAATGGAAGACTCTAATATACAACTTTCTTCTCTTATCTATGGCTAGGGAAAATGGTAGAGGATATGGTTAAGAATTTTAATGCTAGTCAAGACAGAAAGAGCTCTCTCTGGTGGCGTAGTGCCTAAGGCATTTGAGTGCTAATCAGAAGGCTGGCAGTTCAAACCCATCAGCCACTCATCAGAAGGAAGGTTGGGCAGTCTACTGCCGTAGTGATACTGCCTCAAAAACCCAAGGAGGGGTCACTACAAATCAGATTCGACTCCATGGCAGTGGGTTTGGTTTTTGGTTTGTTCAAGACAGAGAGGAATGCCTTGGTTATTTAACAGGGAAATGGCACAGGTATTAGCTGTATTTTTCAGGGTTCATGGGAAACTTAAAGAGTACAACTGGTGGGAGCCTCAAGGTTGTGGGGTGAGAGCGTCCATCTTTGGAGATTACTGAAGCTATTTTTGTAGCCAATGATAAGGCTGTAGACAGCAAGGGCAGGCAGGATGCCTGAAGGCATAGTCTACTTCCGTCTCCAAATAAGGAGACACAGAGCAGACACCTTTCTTGAGTAGGTAGGAGGGAAAGATGAGACAAAGTGCTCTCTGTCAGCTTCACTCAAATTCTGTATCATAGGAAATAGTGCTTTCAGAGAGATGCACCCAGTTACATTCAACCAGTACCCTTCGAGTAATCGGAGAGTCAGCTACTTAGTTTGATTTCCTATTAAAGATCCAAAGGTAATTGTGTCTTTAAGACAAGACTGAGGGAAGCAGTGCGATGTCACAGGCAGAATGTGAAGCTGGCCTGAGAGTTGTGGCTCTCCTGCCAGTGTGTGTGATCTTCATCACATCATGGCAGTACACCTTTCAGCTGTTTCCTTCATCTGTAAAATGAGAGTAACGATTTCACAAAGATAGTGTTAAGAGCTTTTGTGAAAAGGAAAGCATTTTTGATGAAGTACTCCAAGTATGTGATCCCTACAGCTCATTTTGGGAGAGAATTTGCCTAATGAAGAGAGCAGACTCACTCTTCTCTCTTTACCATTTTCTAGAGCTACAGCAATGAATGAGCTGCATTGGGGCAATGTTTTAAGATACAGAAGACCCAGTTCCATAGTGGGTCATACCACGGGTCTGCCCAGCTTGATATCCTACCTAGCCCAGTAAATAGTACCCAGAGGTACTTGGTGGGAAAGTGTGACTATGGTCTTCCACTAAAGCATTATGCTCTGTACCAGATTTATCTTTACTCCTTCATGGGTCCATATACATCAGTGTACTTAAGAGCTTTTAGATATGAATAACCTCTTAGGTAATGATTCCTACATGCTTAAACTCGATACATTCTGTAAGTAAACTTTTAAAAATATCATTTCCTTTTGCCGTGGCTGCACAATGTAAGTTTGAAGTTTGAGGGTAGTAGATGCATGCCCTGCCAGTTTGAAAGTGTAATGAAAAGCACATTCATTAACTTAGTCCAATTCCTGCCTAAGAACAAAAATCACTGTTTCTTCTCTTCTCAGACCAACTGAACGTGAGCGAACGGAAAGACTAATTAAAACCAAACTAAGGGAAATTATGATGCAGAAGGATTTGGAGAACATCACATCCAAAGAGGTGAGGGACCTTGAATCTTCATGGTTGTGGGACTGAGAAGTAGAATAATGATAATTGTATGAAGCTAAAAATTACACATGCAGGTGGATTTTACAGAGGTTAGCACAGGATGTTATCTCTGTTTCAGATAAGAACCGAGTTGGAAATGCAAATGGTGTGCAACTTGCGAGAATTCAAGGAATTTATAGATAACGAGATGATAGTGATCCTTGGTCAGATGGATAGCCCTACCCAGATCTTTGAGCACGTTTTCTTGGTAAGTCTCAAGTCTCAGGGCTGCTTTATGAGCATGCGTTCTTGGTAAGTGTGAGGGCTGCTTTATGAGCTGAAGCTAGCCCATACTGACTCATGGGCGTGGACCATTAAATTTTACTAGATTTAGATAAAATTTAAATTCTATTAAAAAAAAGGGATTTTTTTAAAATGGTAATAAATACCAAAACTCATCACTTCCTAATTCTTTTCCTGCATTTTACTATTAATCTGTTTTTAAGATTATTTATGTCTATTAGATATTGGAAATAATAGATCATGGTGTGGTACTGCTCATCTCTTCTCATTCCTCATTCAGTGTTACCAGACTGGTGGATTGAAATTGACCGTGGTGGGAGTATATACAATAAAGAAATTGATAGATCCTATAAATCAGGCTTTTTTTTTTTTCCCCCCCTGTGATGGTTATGTTTTTATGTCAACTTGGCTGGGCCTGGTTGAGTGGCTGGGCAGCTGGATATAGTATTCCCCATGATGAGACTGGTAATCAACTCCATGGTGGAATCTACTGGGAGCAGCTGAGTAGCTGCCTTTGGGAATGTGGTCTGCTTCCTGTGTATAAGGAGAAGCTTTGAGAATGGTCTCTAGCCTGTGGCACACTTCGACCCTGCATGGAGCTGTGTCGTTGCTCAGCAGCCTGCCATGCTCTGCCAACCTTGGGACTTACAATGGACTTAATTAAGCTAATGGCCTGCCGTGTGGTTTGGTAACATCGGGACTGTGTCTTTTTACTTGTCAACCTTGGGGGCTTCCAGCCTCAGCAGCCAGCAGCTGTCTGAAGTGAAGAAATGCCTCTACCTCCAGCGGGAGGCAGAGCTGGACCCCAAGGTTGAGGGGCTTTCACCCAGCCCCTAGAGCCTGGCACTTTGAACTTGGACTTAAAGCCCCCAAATTGTAAGAATAAACTCCTGTTTGTTAAGGCCATACCATTTGTGGTATATTCTTGTCAGAGCAGCACTAGGTAACCAGAACATTCCCCTCCTGGAGAACTGGTTGTTGAATATCCTATCTGCTCTTCAGAATAATTTCTTGGGGCTGCCAAAACAAAATACCGAAAAGTGAGCGGCTTTAAAGAACACAAATTTATTTCCTCACAGTTCTGGAGACTATAAATTCAAAATCGAGGTGTCTACAGAGCTTTCTCTTTCTCTGTCTATTTCTGTTTGGCTCTAAGGGAAGATCATTTCTTGTCTCACACCTACTCAGTCAGGTATGACTTAAGTGATAATATCTTCAAATAAAGATGCTATTTCCCAAAACAATGTCACATTCACAGACACAGGGGTTTGGACTTCAACATGTCTTTTTGGGGTAACACAGTTCAGTCCATAACAATAAACCCACTGCTGTCGAGTCATATCCGACTCATGGTGACCCCTCCTTGGGTTTCTGAGGCAGTATCACTATGGAAGTAAATTGCCCAATCTTCCTTCCAAGGAGTGGCTGGTGGGTTTGAACCGCCAGCCTTTTGGTTAGCAGTCAAGTGCCTTAGGCACTATGCTACCAGAGCTCCTAAGTGAAAAGCAGACCAGTTCACAATACTTGCGGACAATGTATTAATAGGATGATGATCCTTTTGGGATTGTCTTGGACACATCTGCCAAATGTGTCTAAGGTTTGATAAATCTGAGCAGAGCAGGTGGAAACTGCTTATAAATGGAGAGACTTTTGGATATTTAAACATTTGCAACTTTGTAGCTGCATTTGAAATGCTCCAAATACTTTTGAGGTTACTAAGAAGACAATGACTTAATAATTGTTCTTCATGGTTCTTGATCATACAATGACCTGTAATTAGCCCAAGGAGACCTCTCTGACAGATGGATTAGAAAAGCTTCTAAAATCCTAAGACCTATTTTCTTCCCAAATGTTAAAGAGTTCTAGTTTTTATCTGTAGATGGTGGGAACAAGGTTACCAAGATAATTAAAATCAGTGGGGAACACCAAACCTTGTTTTTATTTCCTCTTCCCACATACTTTGACCAGAAATGCTAACAAGGAATTAAATTGATTGGTTTGAATTTCATTTCCTTTTTCTGATAAAGATATTTGTAAACGGTGAAATTATTAGAAGCTGAGAAACAGGAGAGAAGACGAGTATATGCACAGAAGCTGACTAATGTGGATCATCTCACCCTGAATATTCAGGAGTTGATTTCACTAGGCTTCATACTTTGTGCTATTGACAGCTCGTGCCTTGCGTTAACTTGCTGACACTCTATAGTATATGTGCTTGTGGAGTGATTCATAGTGGAGTGGTCTGCCATGTACGGCTGTAAAATTACTCATGAAAAGCTGTGAGCTGGTAGAGGAATTTCTTTTCCATCAATCTAACTTAACCAGTGTGCATTGCAGACTCTAGATATAGACCCTGCTGGAAAATGGTCATTGACCTTTCCATTTGTGAAGCTGTTATCTTTTGTGTATATGTGCTTTAGGTACAAGTTTACAGAGCATAGTTTGTTTTGCATTCAACATTTCATGTACATTTGGTTTCACTCCCCAGTTACCCTCCCTAACCCAAACCCACTCTCCTCCCTCCCCTTCCCAGTACCCCCTACCCCATGCACCGCATAGTTAGACACCTGTGTGTCCTGCATTTACTCCTTGTGAATGTTGCACCTCTGGTGCCCCGTGGTCGATTGCTTCAAGGGATGCATCTCTGTAGAGTATGTGGGTGTATCACCCTGGGTTGGGTGGTCTGCATGTACGTCTTATTTACTATTGGGCTGAGAGCCAGCCCCTGGGAGTAAGTTTTATTCCAAGCCTGAAGGGTATCTCAGGGCCATAGTATTGGGAGTCCCAACCAGTAATCCTTGTCATTATTGTGTTTTTGGATTTTGTTCCATGTTTTTCCTTCCACTCTATCCTGGATCTCCAGTTTTGATCCTTTCCCGAGTGGTTGGCATAGGTAGCTGGGCACCATCTAGTTCTTCTGGTCTCGAGGTCCATCATGTCCTAGGGCTGATTGCTTTCAAATATCCTTGTTTTTTTGCATTCTTCTTTGCTTCCAATGATAGGAGACCATTAGCTGCATCTCAGATGGCCGCTTGAAAGCTTTTAAGACCCCAGGCGCTACTCAACAATATAGGTTGTGGGACAAGATATTCATGTATTTTGTTGTGCCGGTTGAATCTGCTGGCCCCCAATACTATGGTCTTCAGTCAGTAGATCCGTTGGGTCTCTCTCCTACAGTGTGTGGCTGTCTATGAGGGATTGCTCTATGTCTGTCTTCTGTTGTTTCTGTAAGGACTGTGGGTATTTTGTATCACTGGTATCTGTGCAAGATTAGCCTTAGCTGAATCTATCCTTGGTCTAGAGTATAATCCTGTTCACTGACACCCCCCCCCCCCCAATCTGATCTTCTCAGATATTTATTTGTTTATCTGTAGCCTGGTGTTTAGTGTTAATGGTAATGCAGTGTTACCAATATACTGGTATTAGTCTCTGTCGTCTTTATCTTATGTGTACAATTCAGTGTCCTCCTTTCCCCAGTGCTATCATGGTGGTCACAGACTTTCCATACCATCCCTCCCCTTGCCCATCTCAGCATGTGGCCCCCAACTAGCCCAAAGTTCTCCCCTCCCCTTCCCTTTGTTACCTTTTGTGTATATTTCCACAGGGGTTCAAGTATTCTTTGCTTTTGTGTTGGAAAGAGTCTTTGTGTTTTCTATTGAAGATTTGTGTTACTCATTCAGATGAGCTCTGCTCCCAGTGTTTCCATGTAGCCTAATTTTTATGAAGGACAAATGCCTGTAGCCAGAAAGAGCACATGTTAGAAAGGGACCAGTGCCGCAAACTTGGAAGTCTTTCCCCCACTGAGCTTGGATTTTAATACTGTGTGACTATCAAATATAGTCCGTTTTTGACAGGTCAGCTTGTTTAATTCAGGCATACTTCTCTGTGTCTCTGAGATGCCACCCCCTCAAGGACTGCCTCTTCCATAGCCCCTCCTCAGATGATGTATTTTAGGATATGTTATGCTTGTTGTTAGTTGTCATGGACTTGATTTTAAGTCATAGCAGTCCCATGTGACACAGTAGAACTGCCCCAAAGGATTTTCTTGGCTGTAACCTTTATGGAAGCAGATAGCTGAGTCTTTCTCCCAGAGAGCCAGTGTCAGTGCAAACAGCCAGCCTTTCAGTTAGCAGCCAAGCACTTACCTGTTTGTGCCTCTAGGGCTCTTAATTTTAATAGTACGTTAAGCCCCCCCCAAAAAAATTGTCTGTCACAATGGGCTCAAAGATAGCAACAATTAGGAGGATAGCAGCGGACTGGGCAGTGTTTTGTTCTGTCGTCCGTAGAGTCGCTACAAGCCAGAACTGACTCAACGGCACCTAACAACAACAAAGCAAAAAAAAATCCAGTTCCCCAAAAATTAAGTTTCCTAATCAGTTATAAATGCACCCGTGTGTTTGTGCCACTACACACTACAGTCGTCCTGTGATTTCATGATTATCACACATATTCTTCTAGCTTGACTTTTTTCCTATTACAAAAATAATCCATGTTCATTGTAGAAAATTTAGAAAATGTTTTTATTAGGTGCTATAGAGTTAGAAAATAATAATGATAATAAATAGCATCTAATTATCACTGAGAGATAATCTCTGTTATCTTTTGTTATATAATATTACCCCTCAGTCTGTTTTCCTTTTTTAAATATTTATTTATGAACATATTTTTTAACAAAGGGAAATTTGTTGAGCTTCAGCTGTAATTCTGTTTTGTAGAGGATTGACATGTTCTTTCCATTGTGAATATTTTCCTTATTTGGGTAGAAGTGTTTCAAACTGGAGAATCCTAAAACGTAACTCTTGTCTAACGCAATAAGTACATGAGCAGGTTCTCTAAACATCTTACTGTGTGTTTGTCCTTGGTAGCTCCCTCCTTTTGTTTGCACGACCATGTCCTGTGTCTTCTCCAGTGAGTCTCTGCCCTGCTGGCTCTCCCAGCCATTAACACAGAAGAAAAGGATCTTAT